GTCACAATTATCTTAATGAACAGCAAGATTGAAGGGCCAACCAAGGGGGCTTAACCCACAGAGATCTGAGTTGGTTAATAGAACACGATATCCCTAGGGACAAAATAGATGGGCATTGTTTAATATATAAAAAGAATGCAAGACTAGGTGAACAGGGAGCTGAACACTGTTGCCCCAATAAAAAAAAATCATGATCCCTTGATGTGGAGAAATTGGAACCCTTGTGCACTGTTGGTGGGAGTGTAAAATGGTGCAGCCACTATAGAAAACAATATGGTAGTTCCTCAAAAAAATAAAAATAGAACTACCATATGATCCAGCAATCCCACTCCTGGTATATATCCAAAAGAATGAAAGCAGGATCTTAAAGAGATATTTGCACATCCATGTTCATAGCAGCATTATTAACAGTGGGCCAGAGGTGGAAGTAACTCAAGTGTTCACCAAAGGATGAATGGATAAACAAAATGTAGTATATACATACAATGGAATATTATTCAACCTTACAAAAGGAAGGAAATCCTGCCATATACTACACCATGGATGAACCTTGAGGACTGCTAAGAAAGCCAGTCACAAAAAGACAAATACTGTATGCTCCCGCTTATATGAAGTATCTAAAATAGTCAAAGTCATATAAACAGGAAGTAGAATGGCGGTTTCCAGGGGCTGCAGGGAGGGGGAAATGGGTTGTTTTTTAATGGATGCAGTTTCAATATTGCAAAATGAGAAATTTCTGGAGCTGGGTTGTACAACATTGTGAATGTGCTTAACACTACTCAACTGTACCGTTAAAAATGGTTAAGATGATAAATTTTATGTTTTTTACCACAGCTAAATATATTTTTTAAAAAACACTTTATAGGGCTTCCCTGGTGGCGCAGTGGTTGAGAGTCCGCCTGCCGATGCAGGGGACGCGGGTTCGTGCCCCGGTCCGGGAGGATCCCACGTGCCGCGGAGCACCTGGGCCCGTGAGCCGTGGCCGCTGGGCCTGCGCGTCCGGAGCCTGTGCTCCGCAACGGGAGAGGCCACAACAGTGAGAGGCCCGCGTACCGCAAAAAAAAAAAAAAAACACTTTATAAAAAAGTCATAATCCCTTGTCCAGTTCAAAGACCTGAAACTGCTTTCAGACTTGAAATCTATTGAATGAAAAAGTGTCCAAGTCACCAAGAGAAAGGAGCCTGCAATGTCACAGCAAGTATACACTGTAATACTTGCAAAGGGACTCACAGCCATTTTACTTGGGTGACTGTAAACTAGGAGGTTGGGGGGGAATATCCGGCAGGATACAGGCTCTGAAATGATACTGATATTCAGAGACCTAAAATGTCATTGTGGACCCCCATTAGAGTGATGGGACATGGGCCAGGTCAAAATGGAGTCCTGGCTGAAGTCAGCTTAAAGGGGGTCCACTGGGTCCATGGCCCCACCTAGTGGTCGTTGCCCCAGTCCCTGAACGTGTAGCTGGGATTGCTATATTTGGCAGTTGGCGAAGCCGCCACATTGGGTTATTGGTTTATGTGATAAGAGCTTTCACAGTGGAGAAGGACAAATGGAAACCTCCAAAACTGTGCACCTCTCCCCACTCCTCTGCTCCCCAGACAAGATGGTAAATAAAAAACAATACCCCATTTTGGAGGGAAGATAGAAATCAGTGCCACTCTTTAGGATCTTAAGGATGCAGGGATGGTGGTCGCTACCATACCTCTGTCTAATTCACCAGTCTGGGCCCTGAAGAAAACAGATAGATCCTGGAGAATGACTATAGACTGTTGCCAGTTCAACTCCACCCCGATTGCAGCCACCATGCTGGACGTGGTCTCATTGCTAGAGCATATAAATATGACTTCAAGTACATGATATGTGGCCACTGATTTAACAAATGCATTCCTCTTTACCCCAATCAGGAAAGAGGATCAGAAACAGCATTCATGTGGACTGAACAACATTCATTTAGTTTTCTCCCCAGGCTGTGGTAACTCTCCAAATCTATGTCGTGATATATTCAGAAAAGATCTAGACCATCTCGACATCCCGCAGAATATCACATCGATCCATTGCATCAATGACATTATGCTGTTTCAGGAGACTGAGCAAAAGGTGGCTAGCACCTTAAAGCCTTGGTAAGACACAAGCACTCAAGAGGGTGAGATATAAACTCTAGGAACATTCAGGGAACTGCCCCTTCAGTAGTCATTTGGGGTCCAGTGGTAGGGGTAAGCTAGGACACCCATCTAAAGAAAAGGCAAATTGCTGCATCTTGCATCCACAAAGAAGGAAACACAATCCCTGGTGGACCTCTTTGTTCTGGAGACAATATGCTCCACCCCCTAGGAATACTGCTGTAGCCCATATACTGGGAGACACACAAAGTTGCAGCTTTTTTTTTTTTTAGAAGAGCTTACACTTTTATTTATCCTAAACCTGATTCCAGTCTGACTCCAGAAAGTAACTATTCACTCATTGATCCAACTAATATTTTTTGAGGACCTCCTATGTGCCAGGCACTGTTCTAGAAGCTTGGAATATAAGTTACACAAAAGAGACAGCTCTGAGCCTTCCTGGAGTTTGTAGTCTAGCAAGAAGAAGTATTTCCATGGCCACCTCCTTGGCCCCAACCACCATCTCTCTCCTGAACCACCACAGGAACCCCTGCTTCCACTCTCACTCCCTTTCCATCCAGGTTCCACACAACAGCCAGAGTGACATTTTAAAAATACGTTAGGGACTTCCCTGGTGGTCCAGTAGTTAAGACTCCACGCTTCTAAAGCAGGGGGCCCGGGTTCGATCCCTGGTCAGGGAATTAGATCCCGCATGCCGCAACTGAAAAAAAAAAAAAAAAAAAAGATCCCACATGCCGCAACTAAGACCCGTCGCGGCCAGATAAATAAATATTTTAAAATACATATACATAATACATACATATATAAGTTATATCATGCATGTCACTCCCCAAGGCTGCAGCTTTGAGTGGGGCCTCAGGGATACTGAGCCCCATCAGCAAAAGGAGGTAGAACTGCTACTACGTGGGACAGGAATATGTGTGGAACTCAGGTATCCACTTGGGCACCTCTTGGCACTCTGTGGCCTAACTGTGACATGAATGACAAGCGCAGCCCAGCCTGTGAAGGGTGAGGGTATCAGGGCTCAGACCTCCTCAAGAATAAGGGTGTGGGTTACACCACCCAGTAAGCCATCAAGACCAGCAGAGGTGACAGTGGACTGATCTCCAGAAGAGAGGGAGAGTGGAATTTAGAGTAGATAACGGAGCAGGGAGACAATAAGTTACCAGCTGTAGCCCCAGGACCAACCACAGCAACAGCCAGTGGTTGTCCCACAGACCTCCCTTTTCGAAGTCCCTTAGGACCCTGGAGAGCTCCCCCTGCTTCTCCTCTTCCCCACTCAGCAGATGGAATCCTTAGAGCACTTCCCGTTACTTGCCTACTTAAAACCATCGAAGGGACTTCCCTGGTGATCCAGTGGTTAAGACTCTGAGCTGCCAACGCAGGGGGTGTGGGTTTGATCCCTAGTCAGGGAACTTGATCCTGCATGCGGCAACTAAGATCCCGCATGCGGCAATGAAGATCCCACGTGATGCAACTAAGACCCGGCACAGCCAAATAAATAAAAAAATTTTACACACACACACACACACACGCACACACACACATAAAGCCATCCAAGCTTCTCGTCACTCTCAAAATAAAAATCCAAACTTCCCCTTCATCATCTGACCCATGCACATCTCCCACTTTATGTTGCCCAGAAGCAGCCACACAGACTTCGTTTCTGTTCTTCAAACACACCAGCCTCTTTCCTACCTCAAGACCTTTGCCCTTCCTAGTCCTTCTGCCTAAAAAAACACTAGTTCTCTTCCTTAAAATTTTTTTCAAATGTCAGCTCCTTTGAGAGCTCTTTACTGGCCACTCTGTCTCAAAAGCACCCCTTCCAATGGAACTGCTCCCTATCATGTCCCTCTATTTGCTTCTTTCACAACAATTAGCACAGTCTCATTATTTGCCTCATTTACTGTGTTATTATCTCTCTCCCTGAGTAGAATATAAGCCCCATAGGGGCAGGGCCTTGACTTGTTCACTGTTATCTCCCTAGCACTCTGCTCACAATATAAATGCAAAAATTGTTTGCATAATGAATGACTGAATAAAATGGTGCCTAACCCATGCACACATCTGCCAAATTCATCACAACCATTTAGTTCCATTGTAATAATAGTAATATATTTTGATGACCCATTCCAGTTTTTGTTTGTTTGTTTTGTTTTGTTTTGTTTTGCGGTACGCGGGCCTCTCACTGTTGTGGCCTCTCCCGTTGCGGAGCACAGACTCCGGATGCGCAGGCTCAGCGGCCATGGCTCACGGGCCCAGCCGCTCCGCGGCACGTGGGATCTTCCCGGACCGGGGCACGAACCCGTGTCCCCTGCATCAGCAGGCGGACTCTCAACCACTGCACCACCAGGGAAGCCCCCCATTACAGTTTTTAAATAGCATATTCTTGTTTGCTATTAATAGCTTTTACATACATTACTTATTTTGATCTTAAGAATTAACCCTGTGAGGAAAGTAGGGCAGAGATGACACCAAATTAAGGATTAAAAAAAAAAATTGAAGCTGAGAGAAGTAACCAAGCTACAGAGTGCCAAAATCTAAATCTAAAATCAGGTATTGGGAAAACGCAGTGATGTCCAGCACCAACTACCAGGTTTAGGCCAAACTTCACAGGTTATGGGCCCAGTCCTCCACAAGGCTGCCCTCACTTCAGATACCAGTCACAAGAGCAGGAGTCCCACTATTCCATCAAGTTTGAGAATTTGCTAGAACTACTCACAGAACTCAGGAAAGCATTGTACTTACTATTAAAGTATTAGTACAAAAGGATACAAATCAGGACGAGCTGAAAGAAGAGACAGATGGGGTGAAATGTGGGCGAGACCCAAACATGAAGCTTCAGGTCATCTCTCATGGAGTCCTGGATAGCATTACCTCCTCCCGGTTACACTGTGTGCCAACATTCAAGAGTGTTGCCAAGCAGGGCTTCCCTGGTGGTGCAGTGGTTGAGAGTCCGCCTACCGATGCAGGGGACGCGGGTTCGTGCCCCGGTCCGGGAAGATCCCACATGCCGCAGAGCGCCTGGGCCTGTGAGCCATGGCCGCTGAGCCTGTGCGTCCGGAGCCTGTGCTCCACAGCGGGAGAGGCCATAACAGTGAGAGGCCCGCGTACTGCAAAAAAAAAAAAAAAAGAGTGTTGCCAAGCAGAGATGCTTACCCAAGTCTCTGGTGTCCAGAGTTTTTATTGAGGCTCAGTCACACACTGCCCACACCTCTGACCTGTAGTCTCCTGTTCCTCTGGAGGTCAGAACTGATACAGCATCTTTCAAAGCCACCATCATAAATCACATTGTTAGACTGGTCAGTGGCCAAACCCCCCAGGCAGACAAAGACACTCCTATCAGGTAGGACATTTTAGGGGCCTAGATATTACCTCCCAGTAGCTGAGGGCAAAGGCCAGGCCTCTCTTTGGGTAAAGTTAATTCTTCATTATACAAGGGAGATTTACTCTTCCTTCTTTTTTTTTTTTTTTTTTTAATTCTAAGTCTAGTGCTCTAAACACACTGCTCTGTTTAATCTTGAATCTCTAAGTCTGACCTATCTTTCCTCTTTTAGAGTCTGCTTCAGGTCACATGTTGCCCTGGAGAACTGAGAAGGATGATCAGACCTACAACCAATTATGGCCCCGAGAAAGCAAGAGAACAGAAGTAAGCAAAGTCTTTATTATCAAACAAGAAATATGCTGTTTATAAAGAAAATTATTACAAATTCTCTTTTTTTTTTACATGATGTTGCTGAAATAAGATCTAGCAAATGTAGCTGTTAGTAAGGAAAAGACTAAAACAATGCTGGGCAGTGACATCAAAGTAACATAATACTGTAATCTAGTTGACATTCTCTGATGATATACTACTACCCTGCAGCTTGTAATTCCCTACAGATTAACATGCCAAGAAAATGCCAGTTACTTACTGGAATGTAAAATTCAGATGATTTTCACTGAGGTCAGGGAGTGGGGGCTCGTTATGGGTATGTGTATGTGTGGCTTCTTTCTCCCACTCTTTACAAAAGTCAATAGTGATCATTAACTTTTGAGGAAAAGGTGTCATCACACTGTCATTAAAAACCACTTATCAAGTCTCCAAACTGCGAAGTATATTTTGTCTTTGATTGTAACCATTTGTTTATTTTCCATTCTCCCAACTAGATGGTGAGCAGTTCACAAAGGTACTCAATAAATATTTTTAAGGGACTTCCCTGGTGGTGTGGTGGTTAAGAATCTGCCTGCTAATGCAGGAGACACGGGTTTGAGCCCTGGTCCGAGAAGACCCCATATGCCGCGGAGCAACTAAGCCCGTGCACCACAACTACTGAGCCTGTGCTCTAGAGCCCGCGAGCCAAAAGTACTGAGCCCACGTGCCTAGAGCCCGTGCTCCGCAACAAGAGAAGCCACCGCAATGAGAAGCCCACACACCGCAATAAAGAGTAGCCCCTGCTCGCCGCAACTAGAGAAAGCCCACATGCAGCAACGAAGACCCAATGCAGCCAAGAATAAAAATAAATTAAATAAATAATTTTTTTTAAAGGCATTGAAATTGTGGCCAGAAGGCCAGGTTCCCATTCTGGCTCTTCTCCTTATTGATTGTTTGACCTTGGGCAGGTCTCAATTCCTAAATCTATTTCCGCATCTGCAAAATGGAATTACTCACATTTGCTCTACTTACTGCATAGGGTTATTGTAAGAATCAAATGCATACGTGGATTTTAAGGTATTTTGCAAACTGTGAAATGTCTTACTAATACAACATTTTTTTCCAGTTAGAAATTATTTTTAAAGTGACATGGGGGGACTTCCCTGGCGGTCCAGTGGTTAATACTTCACCTTCCAATGTAGGGGGTGCTGGTTCGATCCCTGGTTGGGGAGCTGAGATCCCACATGACTTGTGGCCAAAAAACCAAAACATAAAACAGAAGCAGTACTGTAACAAATTCAATAAAGACTTTAACAATGGTCCACATCAAAAAAATCTTTTTAAATAAATAAATAAAGTGACATGGGGACTTCCCTGGTTGTCCAGTGGTTAAGACTTCGCACTCCCAATGCAGGGGGCCTGGGTTCGATCTCTGGTGGGGGGGGAACCAGATCCCACATGCTGCAACTAAGAGCCTGCATGCCACAACTAAGATCCCAGCGCAGCCAAATAAATAAACAAATATTTACAGTGACATGTATTTTACTAGGATGTAAAATATGATTGGGGAAACAGACTCAAGAATTCCAAGCCTAAGCAGATTGAGAGCAGGGAAGCTACCTCTCACCTCATCAGTCCTGTAGTAGTCTAGAGGGACCTCTTCCTGCTCTCTATCAATGTGTCTTCTGTGAGTCTCAGTTTCTTTATATCAATTTCTCTGAGCCTCAGTTATGCCATCTTTTACATGGGAATAAAACATGCCCTATTTACCCCAGATGGTTTGATGGGAGGCTCAAATTAGATCATTGTTGCTAAGGTCTCTTTGCCAGCCATAAAGTGCTATAGAAATGTAAAGATATCTGGTAATATTTTCCTAAAGGTGATGAACTTTCAGGAATAGCTTCAATAAAGCATAAAAGCCAAGGGTATGGGAGGCTTACACTGGGAGGCACATCCCAGGAAAGAATAGAATATGCCTCACTGTCTTGGGTTGGTTTACATATTGCTTTACAAACTCCATTCTGGCAAGGTCTTGGAAGAAAGTAAAATGAAACACAGGCCCTTTCACATCCATTGGCTTATTAAATCTTACCAACACTGTGCCAACCAGGAATTATTATACCCATTTTGCTGATGGGAGAACTGAAGTTTGGAGATATTGACACTTTCCCAAGATCATGCAACTGGTAAATGGTTGCCTCTGAAACTAACTCTTCCAACATCAGTGGGAGAGGACAAAGTGTGCTTAAACCAAAGGGAAGACCAAGTGGGTGGTAGCCTTACAAAATGGCCCATTTCTCATTCCTCCCAAGCTATCAGACCCACTCTCTGTCTTTTACAAATACTTCCTGTTTCTCACAATGGCTAGGGGGCCCAGATAAACAACTGTGACAGCAGGTAGATTTAGGATACAATACAGTGACTGACAGCCACGGGTGGACAAGAGGGCATTTCTACTGGAGGGGAATATGGTCAGTGTTCACAGCTGTGGCAGCCTCCTCCCCTGAAAGATCTTTAATTGGTGAAGAAGTGTCTACGCCAGCTTCAATCCATCCCTGTTAGACATGCCCAGCTCTTAAGTCACATAGACTCAAAGGTCTGCATAAACACTCTACTCTCCCACCTCCACCCTCATAACTACATTCACCCTAAGGCTTAGGCAAGTCAAGAGCAGTTCCTCAGTCACAAAAATGCCAGGGTCCCTGTTTATATATAAACCTTTTTTCATGACCTAAAATTCTTCCTTTATTAATTCATATCTCTTCTCTTATGTAAAAATCTAATTCAAATACCAAAAATTGGAAATAGCCCCAATGTCCATCAGTTTGGAGACCAATTTAAATAAATTATGATAACACATTCATTCAGTGGGCTATTTTTTTTAAATGCATCATTCTTTTTTTTATAAATTTATTTTACTTTTTATTTATTTTTGGCTGCATTGGGTCTTCGTTGCTGCGTGCGGGCTTTCTCTAGTTGCGGCGAGTGGGGGCTACTCTTTGTTGTGGCGTGCGAGCTTCTCTTTGCGGTGGCTTCTCTTGTTGCAGAGCACGGGCTCTAGGCTCACGGGCTTCAGTATTTGTGGCACGTGGGCTCAGTAGTTGTGGCACACAGGCTCAGTAGTTGTGGCACGTGGGCTCTGGAGCGCAGGCTCAGTAGTGGTGGCGCACGGGCTTAGTTGCTCCGTGGCATGTGGGATCTTCCCGGACCAGGGCTCAAACCCATGTCCCCTGCACTGGCAGATGGATTCTTAACCACTGCGCAACCAGGGAAGTCCCCTTTCAATGGACTATTAAACAGTCGTTAAAAAGAATGAAGCAGATGTGGCAAGACTGCCACAGTATAATGTTAAGTGAATTAGTAAAGGGAAGAGCAGGGTGTATGGTATGCTCCCATTTTTATAAAAAGAAAAATATTAAATGTTTTAATAAAAAGAAATATTTTTAATGAAAATACTAAAAATTTAAGCTTACAGTGGTACAGAAAACTTCTAGAAGAATACACAAGAACTAGTAACAGTGGTTGACTCTGGTTAGGGAGACATACTTTTCATTGTACAGCTTTAGTACGGTTTGAATTTTGCCGCGGCATGTATTACTCTTTCAATTAAAAAACAACTTTAAAAATGAACTCAGGGGCTTCCCTGGTGGCGCAGTGGTTGAGTAGTCCGCCTGCCGATGCAGGGAACACGGGTTCGTGCCCCGGTACGGGAAGATCCCACATGCCACGGAGCGGCTGAGCCCGTGAGCCATGGCTGCTGAGCCTGCACGTCCGGAGCCTGTGCTCCGCAACGGGAGAGGCCACAACAGTGAGGGGCCCGCGTACCGAAAAAAAAAAAAAAAAAAATGAACTCAAAATTTTTTCCCTCAAAAGATTTCCTTGTCCATCCTACTTCTCAACTATCTCCTAAATCTGATCACCTCCCTCCCTCCCCCTGCCTCTGCCCCAGACTAACTGCTAGGGATTGACGGTGCTTTTCCCTTGGAGACAAAAAAGCAGAGAGGGAAGTTTTTTTGTTTGGGGGTTTTGTTTTTTTTTTTTACACAATTATTTTAAAAGAATAGCACCTGGTTATCCACAATATTTAGTTAAATTGAAAGCTATTGGAAGGCACATCACAGTCACACCCACTTACAAGCCATATCTTGAATTACAGAATTGTTTGAAGGTCAATTTTTAGCTGTTTGCCTTGAGTGCCAAAATTGCTTTTCACAGTTCTGTCCCTGCAGGTTCAGGCCACCAACCCTTCTCTCTTCAACTAATGCAACATTCTTCTAATTAGTCTCACTGATTCTACTCTTTCTCACTCTCCCTCTCCTATAATCCAA